TTTGTCAACTTGCAAAATGGAGTGAAGAGACAAAGGAGAGGCCAGTGCAGCAGCAGCACGGAGGCGCTCCAAGACCTCTGGCTGCATGCAAACCCTAAACCCTAAACCCTAAACCCTAATTGCTGAACCCTAAACCCTAAACCCTAGACTCTAAACATTAGGCAGTGGGCTGCGTCTGCTAACACGTGGGTTAGGTGAAATACTGACGTGAAGCCCAGTTTCCTGCTGCTGCTGTTCTTGTTGTTGGTGCTGCTGCTGCTGCCGCTGCTTCTGCTGCTGCTGCTGCTGCTGCTGCTGCTGCTGCTGCGTGTAAGCTTCAAGAACGAGCTGGGCGACAATGTTTGCTGCAGTTTGGTTTCTGCAATTTTGCTGCTGCTCCCCCCTCCAGCGACGAGACAAACGCAAAAGGAGACACAAATTCGTGAGGTGGACTCCCTGCTGCTGCTGCTGCTGCTGCTGCTGCTGCTGCTGCTGCTGCTGCTGCTGCTGCTGCACTTACTGCAGATCGAGACAGAACCGACGAAGCGTCTCTGCTGCTTGCAAAGACAACAGACATTCCTCTAGGCGGTCGAGAGAGCTAATGCTGGTCAGCAGCTGCAACAAACAGCAGCAGCAGCAGCAGCAGCAGCAGCAGCAGCAGCAGCAGCAGCAGCAGCAGCAGCAGCAGCAGTAGAAGTAGTAATAGTTGCAGCAGTGGTATTAGTAGTAGATTGGCAAAAATGTCAAGAACACGAAGTGCTGCTCATCTCGCTTCCAACTCTGCAGATGTTGTTTCTGAGGTTCAGGGTTTGTGTTCTAGGGTTTAGGGTTTAGGGTTTGTGGTTTGGGGTTTAGGGTTTAGGGTTTGTGGTTTAGGGTTTAGCGCGCGCACGATGGTCTGCGTGGCTTCTTCAAGCAGCAAACGCAAAAGCCAGCCAAGCTTGCTGCTGCTCTCAGCAGCAGCAGCAGCAGCAGCAGCAGCAGCAGCAGCAGGCTGTTCCCTTGGGGGTACTTGGAAGACCTGTAGCGTCTGCAGAAGCACCCAGACGAAGACAGCTGCGAGGTTAAGGGTTTAGGGTTTAGGGTTTAGGGTTTAGGGTTTAGGGTGTTTGGAACTAGGGCTTGAGGCTCAAGAGCCGCACTTCTCGCCAGGAAGAATGCTGCCACAATGCACCTGCGTCTGCCTGCTGCAGCAGCATCTGCTGCTGCTGCTGCTGCTGCTGCTGCTGCTGCTGCAGTGGCCTCGCCAAAGTGTGAACAACTGCTGGAGGAGACAGCAGGCAGTAGCGGATGTCGCTGTAGGAGATGCTGCCGTCTTCTAGCAGCTGCATGCACACTGCAGACACACTCGCTGCTGCTGCTGCTGCTGCTGCTGCTGCTGCTGCTGCTGCTGCTGCTGCTGCTGCTGCTGCTGCTGCTGATGATTGCAATTGCCGCTTTCGACTGCTGCTGCTGCTGTTGCTGCTCAGCTACTGCTGCTGCTGCTGTTGCTGCTCAGCTGCTGCTGCTGCTGCCGCGACTGCTGCTGCTGCTGCTGCTGTTGCTGCTGCTGCTGCATCTGACCCGCGCAACCCTCAAAAAGTAAACGTAGTGGGGCCCCTCTGTCAAGCCGGGGGCCCCCAAGGGGCCCCCCGATCCATCCCCGCTTCTAAGGTGGCGCACATAGTCCAGCAGCAGCTGCGCATCTTCTAAGGAGTCGACAGTGACCTGCAGCAGCAGCAGCAGCAGCAGCAGCAGCAGCAGCAGCAGTTGAAGCAGAATAGCAGCAGCAGCAGCAGAAGCAGCAGCCTGGGTTGAAAAGCACGAAATGGCTAAAAGCAGCAGCAACAGCAGCAGCGCCCGAAGCAGCAGCTGTCGAACCCCGCAGCTGAAGTGCACATCAGACACGGCAGCAGCAGCAACAACAGCAGCAACAGCAACAGCAGCAACAGCAGCAGCAGCAACAGCAGCAGCAGCAGAATTAACTTGCCATATCGTGGGGCAGCAGCAGGCCCAGCGTGGGGTGATCCAGAAGCTGGAGATAATTGCTGCGGTGCGCAGAGTCAGCAGCAGCAAAGGCATTTAGTGCTGCAGCAGCAGCAGGAAGCCTGCAGCAAGGCCTGCTGCAGCTCGAACCACCGAAGTCGCTGCTGCTGCTGCTGCTGCTGCTGCTGCTGCTGCAGCTGAAACGGCTAAACACCGCGTAGCAGCACTTGCAAGTCCCTGCTGCTTCGTGGAATGTGCGCTGCCACCCCAAGCTGCTGCTGCTGCTGCTGCTGCTGCTGCTGCTGCTGCAGCAGCTACTGTTGCTGGGTGCCCGCAGCAGCAGAGCTGAGGGCCCCTCATCTGCTGCGTTCGGTGAGGGTTTCTTAGCTTCCTCAGCTAGGGCCTCAGAATGCTGCTGCTGCTGCTGCTGCTGCTGCTGCTGTTGCTTCTGCTGCTGCTGCTGCGCTTCGTGCTGCCAGCATCTCGGTAGGGCAAGCAGGTTTCTGGGAAGCAGCCAAATACAAAGCACACTAAACCCTAAACCCTAAACCCTCGACCCCAAACCCTTAACCCTAAACCCTAAATCTCAAGCCCTAAGCCCTAAACCCTAAATCCTGAACCTTAAACCCTAGACCCTAGACCCTAAGCCCTAAACGCCACACCCTGTGGCCTAAACCCTAAACCCTTAGCTCTGATTCCCAACACCTAGGGTTTAGGGTTTAGGGTTTAGGGTTGCGCCTGCCTGATAACTTTATTCTTTACTTGTAAACATCCAATTGATACCCCCAGCAGCTTGGGAAACTTTTCAGGGGTTTCCTGCTGCTGAGGGGCCCCCTGGGGGGCCCCCTGAGGGGCCCCCTGGGGGGCCCCCTGAGGGGCCCCCTGGGGGGCCCCCTGAGGGGCCCCCTGAGGGGCCCCCTGGGGGCCCCCCTGGGGGGCCCCCTGGGGGGCCTCTTGGGGGCCCCCTGGGGGCCCCCCAAGGGAGTCTTCATGTAGGGCCCCTGGGGGGCCCCCCTGGGGGTCATCATTGGGGGCCCCAGGGGGGCCCCCCTGGGGGGCCCCTTGGGGAGTTACTTGGGGGCCCTCTGATGGGTCTTTTGAAGCTGGAGAAGTGTGCTGCTGCTCGCTGCTGCTGCTGCTGCTTTTGTTGCTGCAGCAACTGTGCTCGGGGTCCAGGCTGCCGCTGCTGCTGCTGCGAGAGACGCTTTGCTGCTGCTGCTGGGGCTGCTGCTGCTTGGCAGGCAGCAGCAGCGAAAGGGCACTCAAAAGAGCAGCATGTGCTTCAACTGTCTCTGCAGCGCAGCAGCAGACACAGGCTTCCTGCTGCTGCTGCTGCTGCTGCTGCAGCTGCCTGCTGCTGCTGCAGCTGCCGTGCCAGCAGCAGCACACCCTGCCCCTGCAACACAGCAACAGCAAAAGCGGTAGCAGCAGCCGCAGCAGCAGCAGCAGTAGCAGCAGCAGCAGCAGCAGCAGCAGCAGCAGCAGCAGCAGCAGCAGCAACTGTCTCTCACCTCCGTCTCCGTCTAAAATGCTGCCTTCTACAACAGAAGCAGCAGAAAGAAACTCACAGATGCAGAGACACCCCGCGGGCTGCGCAGTTTGCTGCTGCAGCGCCTCCAGCAGCGAAGAACGCATGCGCTGCAGCGGGCTGCTGCTGCTGCTGCTGCAGCTGCTGCTGCTGCTGCTCTTCAGGCTGTTGCTTCGAGACGATAAAGCGGAGGAGCTGGACTGGTTGCTTTGTGCTGCTGCCGGGCTGTCCTGACTCTCCTGCTGCTGCTGCTGCTGCTGCTGCTGCTGCTGCTGCTGCTGCTGCTGCTGCTCGCACTGTTTCGAGTGTGTTTCCTGCTGCTGCGTTTCCTGCGGCGTTTGCTGCTGCGGCTGCCGTGGCAGTTGCTGGTGCTTCTGCTGCTGCAGCTGTTTCTGCTGCTGCTGCCGCTGCTGCTGCTGCTGCAGCGGGGCGGGGGGCAGCGCTTTGCTGCTGCAGAGGGGACGCGGGGGCCCCCTTGTTTGCTGCGGGGCCCCCGCCAGCATCCGCAGCCACGGCGGCAGCAGCTGCAGCAGCAGCCACCGAAAGAAACCCCCCGAAGGTTCTCGAACTGCTTCCATTGCTGCTTCTGCTGCTGCTGCTGGAGACGCCAGCGGCAGAGAGCCCGCTGAGGAGACACAGCAGCAGCAGCAGCAGCAGCAGCAGCAGCAGCAGCAGTGGGCTGCTGCGCGGGAAGAAGCAGCAACAGTGTGCTGCAGCAGCAGCAGCAGCAGCAGCGGGGAAGCAGCCAAGCAGCAGACGGCGAGATTGCAGCAGCAGCAAGTGGAGAGGCAGCTGCCGCTGCAGCAACAATGGAGCCATTGCCAGCAGCAACAGCAGCAGAAAGAGCAGCAGCAGCAGCTGCAGCAGCAGCAACAGCAGAGGCAACGGCAGCAGCAGCAGCAGCAGCAGCAGCAGCAGCAGCAGCTCACGGTGACAAAATAATTTATCTAAGGAAACATCGAGGGTCTGAACGTGCCAGCTGTGCTGCTGCTGCTCTGCTGCTGCAGCTGCTGCGTCTTTTGCTGCAGCATCTTCTGCACCAGCTTCCGCAGCAGCACATTGTTCTTCTGCAGCATCAGCATATTCTTCCTCGCTTAAGTCGCAGCTAGTGTCTGCTGCTGCGTCTGCTGCTGCATCTGCTGCTGTTGCTGCTGCTGTTGCTGCGTCTGCTGCTGCGTCTGCTGCTGCGTCTGCTGCTGCTGCTGCTGCTGCGTCTGCTGCTGCTGTTTCCGGCCCTTCTGCTGCAGCAGGAGCAGCCTCTGGCGGAGGAGCCTCTTCAGCTGCTGCAGCTGCTGCTGTTGCTGCCGTCGCTGATGCTGCAGCAGCAGCAGCTGCTGCTGCAGCGCGTGCTTTCGATGAAAAGACCCCCAGCCTCTGCTGCTGCTGCTGCTGCTGCTGCCGCTGCTGCTGCTGCTGCTGCTGCTGCTGCGGCTCTGCTCTGCGCCTGCTGCTGTCGTCAGGGTCTGCAGCACTTGCTGCTGCTTCTGCTGCTTCCTCCAAAACCCTAATGTTCTGCAAAGCCCTCGCAAACACTGGCAGCAGCGCAGCACAAGCAACAGCTTTTGCTGCTGCTCGCTGCTGCTGCTCCCAGCTGCCGCCGGGGGCCGCGCACGGGCCCCACGGAGGCGGAGGCTCCAGCACCTGCAAAACCCTAAACCCTAAACCCTAAACCCTAAACCCTAAACCCTAAACCCTAAACCCTGGACCGTGGGCGCGAACCCGTGAGCACGCCCAAACCCTAAACCCTAAACCCCTGGGGAAACGGGCTAAGCTGTGGGCCCCATGCCCTGTGCTCTAGACCCTAGGGCCTATAACACGGCGTCTCAGACCCTAAACCCTAAACCCTAAACCCTAAACCCTCGGGCGAAGGGATCTATGGGCCTCACCGAGACCCAGAGCTCGCAGCGGGTAGACGCCATCTTCGGGTTGGTGGTTGTTTTTTGGCAGAACCCTAGATTGTAAAAATCAAGCTTTAAACCCTAAACCCTAAACCCTAAACCCTAGACCCCAAACCCTAAACCCTAGACCCTCAATCATAAGCCCTAAACCCTGAACCCTGAACCTTGCGCGAGAGGTGCTCAGATGAGCAGGGTTTGGGTCAGTTCACTTGAAATTCCAGCTCTAAAACCTAGGGTTTAGGGTTTGGATTCAGGGTTTAGGGTTTAGGGTTTAGGGTTTAGGGTTTGGGTCCCAGGGAGTACTGCATCTGGTCAGGATCATCCCGAGTTCGGGCTCGGGACACGCAAACCCTAAACCCTAACCCTAAACCCTAAACCCTAAACCCTTCTTCTGCCTCTCCAAAAAACTGAAAATGGTCTTTTAATTCCTTTTTTTGAATTGCAAAATCATAAAAAGTTCTTCTTTTAATTCCTCCCCTTTCAGGGGCCCCCAGGGCCCGCCCGGTGCACAGGTGACCCTGGGGCCCCACGACCGAAGGACTAAACCCTAAACCCTAAACCCTAAACCCTAAACCCTAGACGCTAGCGCGAGACCCTAAACTCTAAATCGTAAACCCTAAACCCTCGCTCACCTGTATTTTTTAAATCTCGAACTCCACAAAAAAGGGTTTAGGGTCTCAGACGCCACACGAGACCCTCATCGAGACACCACACATTCAAACCCTAAACCCTAAACCCTAAACCCTAATCTCAAAACCCTCAAATGTGAAATCCAACATTGAGAAGAAAATTCAAAATACGGCTACAAACCCTAAACCCTAAACCCTCACCAGGCTCACCGCTCCCTCCCCAAATCCTTGACCCCAAACTCACACGCTAAACCCTAAACCCTAATTCCTAAACCCTAAACCCTAAACTCCTAAGCCCTAAGCCCTAAACCCTAAACTCTGGGCCCTAAACCCTAAACACTAAGCCGTAAAAGCCGAAGCCCTACACGCTACACCCTAAACCCTAAACCCTAAACCCTAAACCCTACCCCTTCATGTCTCTCTTTCCATTTCCTTTTCTTCGAATATCCTTCATTCATTTTATTTCATTTTATTTCATTTAATTCCTTTTTATTTCTTTTTATTTCTTTTTATTTCATTTTATTTCTTTTATTTCATTTTATTTCATTTTATTTCATTTTCTTTTTTCTTTTTTTCTTGTTGCACTTTCCTCAGCTTCTTCATCTCTGGAATTTCTTTTGTCTTTGTCTTTTTCTTTTTTAATTTATTTTATTTCTTTTCATCATTTTCATTCTTTTCATTTTTTAATTTCTTTTTTTCTTTTCATCTCTTTTTCCCTTTTTAATTCCTCTTTATCACTTTTAACTTTTCGATCTCCTTTTGTCTTCAACAAATTTGCCTCCATTCCTTTCTATTGTTACCTTTTTGTTACAATGGAGCAGCTAGCTAGCTAGCTAGCTAGCTAGCTAGCTAGCTAGCCAACAGCCCAGCTAGGTAGCCAGCAGCCCAGCTAGCTAGCTAGCTGGCCAGCAGCCCAGCTAGCTAGCTAGCCAGCAGCCCAGCTAGCTAGTGAGATAGATAGCTAGCTAGCTAGCCAGCAAGCTATCTATCTGGGCAGTTAGCTGCTCCGTTTCAGCAGCTAGATAGCTAGCTAGTTAGCTAGCTAGCTAGCTAGCTAGCTAACTAGCTAGTTAGCCGTGGCCTTTATTTGTGTCTCCAGGTCTTTTTGTCTCCTATTTGTTTCCAATTCTAATTCTGTCTCCTTTTGTCTTTTGCATTCATTAAGACTAATATTAATGCATCAACTGTCTCTTAATCCACCTGCTGCAGCAGCAGCAGCTGCTGCTGCAGTAGGTGCAGCAGCAGCAGCTGCTGCTGCAGTAGGGGCAGCAGCAGCTGCTGCCGCACCTGCAGCAGCAGCTACTGCAGCAGCTTCCCCTAAAGCAGCAAATCAGCAGACACCGCAGCAGGAGCAGGAGCGTTGCTGCTGCTGCAGCAGCTCCAGTGCTGCTGCTGCTGCAGTAACCTTGCTGCTGCTGCTGCTGCTGCTGCTGCTGCTGCTGACGTCCCGCTCGCTGCCTGTGAAGCGCCACCGCGGCTGCTGCCCCAGCAGCAGCCGCAG